TCCTTTGGGAATGCTGATTGGCCCTTCCTTTGGGAATGCTGGGCAGCCCTTCCTTTGGGAATGCTGATTGGCCCTTCCTTTGGGAATGCTGATTGTCCCTTCCTTTGGGAATGCTGGGCAGCCCTTCCTTTGGGAATGCTGATAGGCCCTTCCTTTGGGAATGCTGCGCCAAGGATTTGGCTCATCTTTCCCTGCGGATCGCGGAGATTCCAGGATCGGAGCTCAGCTCCGGCCACGGCCGCACCGAGTTCCTCCAAACCTGGGTCCCTCCCTCCACAGGGATTTTCCCAGTGGGATCAGGGCAGGGTGTGGCAGCATCCCGAAATTTTGGATCCCCCCATCCCAGGGCTGACCTGGCGGCTGGGATCCTCCTCCCGGAAAACGAAGGGGCTCCGGAAGCGCCGCTGGAGCGCCGCGATCGTGGTGAGCTTCAGTGCCTTGAACTTCAGCTGCACAGAGAGGCCTGGGATGAGCATCCCACATGGAAAAAGAGACCACATTCCCAACGGGATCCATCCCATCCCCAACGGGATCCATCCCATCCCCAATGGGATCCATCCCCAGGGACTGGGATGAGCATCCCATATGGAAAAGGAGCCCCCATTCCTAATGGGATCCATCCCCAGGGGCTGGGATGAGCATCCCATAGGGAAAAGAGACCACATTCCCAATGGGATCCATCCCCATGGGCTGGGATGAGCATCCCATAGGGAAAAGAGACCACATTCCCAATGGGATCCATCCCATTCCCAATGGGATCCATCCCATGCCCAATGGGATCCATCCCCAGGGGCTGGGATGAGCATCCCACAGGGAAAAGAGACCACATTCCCAACGGGATCCATCCCATCCCCAACGGGATCCATCCCATCCCCAATGGGATCCATCCCCAGGGGCTGGGATGAGCATCCCACATGGAAAAGGAGCCCCCATTCCCAATGGGATCCATCTCCAGGGGCTGGGATGAGTTTCCCATATGGAAAAGGAGCCCCCATTCCCAATGGGATCCATCCCATCCCCAATGGGATCCATCCCATCCCCAATGGGATCCATCTCCAGGGGCTGGGATGAGCATCCCATAGGGAAAAGAGAACACATTCCCAATGGGATCCATCCCATTCCCAATGGGATCCATCTCCAGGGGCTGGGATGAGCATCCCACATGGAAAAAGAGCCCACATTCCCAATGGGATCCATCCCATTCCCAATGGGATCCATCCCATGCCCATGGCTTTGCATCCATAGGGATTCTGTTTGCATCCATGGGAGAGGAGGATGCAAGGCAGGGAGTGGGGGCGGAATGACGGCAAAAAAAGCGGTTTTAGATTAATTAAATTTGCAGTAATTAATAAATTATGGAATGAAAGAATCCATTATGAGGTGCTGTGGATGCACGATCCTGAAGGATAAGCGGCTTTGGGAACAAAATCCACCCCAAAGAAGGGAAAACCCCCACGTTTTTGGGGTGCCAGTGTTCCTTTGGGGGATTTCTCCCAGGAATCCACGTTTTCCGGTGAAATCCACGTTTTCCGGTGAGCACTCACTGCCTTCAGAGACTTCATCCACAGATTCCCACGCAAGTGCAGGTTCAGCTCCTCGCTGGGGGCCAATTTCACCTCGCAGTCGATGGAAACCACGTCGGAGTTGCTGCGGTTCTGCAAAGGGAAATGTGGGATCACGCTGGAAAAGGAGGGAAAATCCCACTGGGATTCGTCCCTGGCAGCACTGAGGGAGGGAGGATCCCGTGTGTCCGTCCTCCTGTGCGGCCAAATCCCCACAATTCTTTAAATTTTCCCCCCCAAACTTCCCAATGTTGCTGGGTTTTGTGCTGTTCTTTCCCTCCAAGTTTTCCCTTGGAAAAAAACCGATCCCGATCTTTGTGAGCTGGAGAATCCCCTCACTCCCCGTAAATCCCGAGTATTAACGGGGCTTAAATTGCAGTGGCTGAGACAAAAAATAAAAATAAAACGACTGAAGGGCTTAAAATCCTCCTAAAAAAATTCCGGAGCCCACGTGCCCCTCCCATGTCCATGGGCCATCCCTATTCCAGGTTTTTCCCTGTTTCGGGATATCCTGGAGCCGGGATTGGCCCCGTGAGGGGATACCAGGTGTGGGGTGCGGGACAGGTCCTCCTCCGCCGGGGTTCTCCGGTAGTCAGTGCTGTTCCCCCAGATGCTGCAGGTCGTGTTTTCCTGTGGGAGAAGCCGATGGAATTCCAGCAGGGACACGGGGATCGTGGCTTCCCTGTGCCCCCATCCCGATGGAATCGGGGATCCCCAGCACCCCACAGGATTTGCTGGAGCTGGGATGGA